CTCCCAAACGGCTCACCAGGTTGTTTATTCTACGCTGACGACTCGGTTTTATCCTCAAGCAAGATTAAACACACTACAGAAATGAAATACTCCAGGGCAATTTTTGACGCTGTTGAAAATACTCTTAAGAGGCAGTCTCCCTAAAAGCGTTCCACTCGATTTCGAACTTGACAAAACTTTTGCCTCATATTTTTTCCATCAATACTACTATCCATTCTGATAACGAAATTCCAGTTAGAATGAGGAAATTGTTTATTTTACTGCCATTTCCAGCATTTCAATGGTGGACGATCGTTGGCGGCTAAAATACGCAAATTTTAGTCTCTTTTAAGAAAGCAAAATGCACAAATAAATGCCTCAAAATCATCAGAAAATTCTCCAATGTGGCACCTAAGTCAGACCTAAAAACAGCTTTTAGTTACAGATTTGTAGCTACTTTGTCAAGTTATGCAATAAAACTTGTGGCACATCGCCATCCAGAATTGAAGGTTTCAACCCAAATTTAGTCAGATGTTCAATTTCCGTTGCGTGACAGAACCGGCCGCTGTCACAGCAAAATCCTCAGTTATTCAAATACTTCCCACTTTTAAGTAAGATATGCTTTATTTTCCCACCAAAACAAAGAGAAGGTTTAAGAAAGATCCTATGGAATCCTTATCAAATCTGGAGAAGATCCTGCAGGAATTCTATGGAATCTTAATCAGTTCTGGAAAAGATCCTACAGTATTATACACAAGATCATATAAAATCCTAAAGGATCCTACAGTGTCCTAGAGAATCCTATAAGATCGTACAGGATCCTATGGGATAGGCATGGGATCTTAGACAAGCATGAAACGACTCCACAGCGCTCTGTAAAATTTTAAAAAGTGGAATCATAGAAGATCGTACAGGATCTCCTAGGATGCTAGACAACATCCTTTAACATCGTTATTAATTTTAGTCAAGATACCATGGGATCTTAGACAAGATTTTCAATGACTCAAGATCCTATTGAATCCTTATCAAACTGGAGAAGATCCTGCAGGATAATAGACAAGATCCTCTGCAATCGTCCAAGATCCTACAGAATATCTATGGAATCTTAATCTGTTCTGGAAAAGATCCTACAGTATTATACACAAGATCATATAAAATCCTACAGGATCCTAAAGTGTCCTAGAAAATCCTATAAGATCGTACAGGATCCTATAGGATAGGTATGGCATCTTAGACAACCATGTAACGACCCCACAGCACTCTAAAATTTTAAACAGGGGAATTATACAACATCCTAGAGGATCTCACAGTATCCTAGACCAAATCCGATGAAATAGTTATTAACTTTAGTCAGATACTATGGGATCTCAGACAACATTTTGAACAAGTCAACAGCATCTTGTCAATCCTACCCATGGAATCCTAAATAACTATGGAAAAGATCCTACGGTATTATAGACAAGATCATATGATATCCTACAGGATCCTAGAGAATCCTATAACATTGCACAGGATCCTAAACAAAATGCTGTTGAGTCCTCAACAATTCTAAACAAGATGCTATAGCATCTTAATTAAGAAATGTACAAGTGCTTATTTGAGCAGGTTAATGCAAACAGAAAGTTTAAGAAAGATCCAATGGAATCCTTATCAAGTCTGGAGAAGATCCTGCAAGTTTATAGACAAGAACCTATGCAATCGCACAAGATCCTACAGGAATTCTATGAAATCTTAATCAGTTCTGGAAATGATCCTAGAGTATTATAGAGAAGATCATCTTAAAACCTATAGGATCCTTCAGTATCCTAGAGAATCCTATAAGATCATACTGGATCCTATAGGATGGGTTTGGGATGTTAGACAAGCATGAAAGGACTCCACAGCGCTCTGTAAAATTTTAAACAGTGGAATCATACAAAAACCTTCAGGATCACACAGGATCCTAGACAAAATCCTATAAAATCAATATCAATTTTAGCCAAGAAACTATCGGATCTTAGTTTAGATTTTGAACGACTCAACAGCGTCCTGTCAATCCTGCTTATGGAAACCTGATCAAGTGTAGAAAAGATCCTACAGTATTATAGACAAGATCACATGAAATTCTACAGGATCCTAGAGATTCCTATAAGATAATACAGGATCCTAAACAAAATCCTACGGAGTGCTTAGCAATTCTAGACAAGATGCTATATCATCTTAGAAAAGAAGCTAGAATTTTAATTGAGAAATATACAAGTGCTTATTTGAGCAGGTTAATGCAAAGAGAGGATTTAAGAAAGATCCCCTGGAACTCTTATCAAATCTGGGGAAGATCCCGCAGGATAACAGACAAGATCCTATGCAATCGTACAATATCCTACAGGAATTCTATGGAATCTTAATCAGTTCTGGAAAGAGTCCTAAAGTATTATAGACAAGATCATATGAAATCTTACACGATCCTAGAGAATCCCATAAGATCGTACAGGCTCCTAAACAAAATCCAGCGGAATCCTCAGCAATTCTAGACAAGATGTTATAGCATCTTAGACAAGAAGCTAAAAATTTAGTTAAGAAATATACAAGTGCTTATTTGAGCAGGTTAATGCAAAGGGAAGGTTTAAGAAAGATCCTATGGAATCCTTTTCAAATCTGGAGAAGATCCTGCAGGATATTAGAAAAGATCCTATGCAATCGTGCAAGATCCTACAGGAATTCTATGGAATCTTAATCAGTTCCAGAAAAGGTCCTACAGTATTATAGACAAGATTATATGAAATCTTCCAGGATCCTAGAGAATCCTATAAGATTGTACAGGGTCCTAAACAAAATTCTATGGAATCCTCAACAATTCTAGACAAGATGCTGTAGCATCTTCGACAAGAAGCGAAGAATTTAGTTAAGAAATATACAAGTACTTATTTGAAAATGCAAAGAGAAGGTTTAGAAAAGATCCTATGGAATCGTTATGAAATCTGGAGAAGATCCTATGGGATCTTAATCGCTTCTGGAAAAGATCCCATAATATTATAGAGAAGATCATATAAAATCCCACTGGATCCTACAGTATCCTTGAGAATCCTATAAGATCGTACAGGATCCTATGGGATGGGTATGGGATCTTAGACAAGCATGAAATTACTCCACAGAACTGTGAAAAATGTTAAACAGTGGAATCATACAATATCATACAGGATCTCACAGGATCCCAGACAAATCCTATAAAATCGTTATTGATTTTAGTCAAGGTACTATGGGATCTTAAACAGTCTAATTATACAAGATCCTACAGGATCTTACAGGATCCTAGAAAAAATCCTATAAAATCGTTATTAACTTAAGTACAGATACAATGGGATCTTAGACAAGATTTTGAACGACTCAACAGCATCCCGTCAATCCTGGCTATGGAATCCTAGAAAAGTCTGGAAAAGATGCTACAGTATTGTAGACAAGATCATAGAAAATCCTACAGGATCCTAGAGAATCTTATAAGATCGCACAGGCTCCTCAACAAAATCCTACGGAATCCTCAACAGTTCTAGACAAGATGCTATAGCATCTTATACAAGACGTTAAGAATTTAGTTGAGATATATACAAGTGCATATAAAGCAGGTTATTGCAAAGAGAAGGCTTAAGAAAGATCCTATGGAAACTTTATCAAATCTGGAGAGGATCCTGCAGGATATTAGACAAGATCCTATGCAATCGTACAAGATCCTACAGACATTCTATGGAATCTTAATCAGTTCTGGAAAAGATCCTACAGTATTATAGACAAGATTATATGACAGCCTTACCGTATCCTAGATATTCCTATAAGATCGTAAAGGATCCTATGGGATGGGTATGGGATCTTAGACAAGCATGAAAGGACTCCACGGGACTCTGTAAAATATTAAACAGTGGAATCATACAAGATCCTAATAGGATCTCGCAGGATCCTGGTCAAAATCCTATATAATCTTTATTAATTTTAGTTAAGATACTATGGGATCTTAGACAAGATTCTGAACGACTCAACGTGCGTCTTGTCAATCCTGCCTATGAAATCGTAATCAACTCTGGAAGATCCTACAGTATTATAGACAAGATGATATAAAATCCTACTTGATCGTACAGGATCCTATGGGATGGGTGTGGGGTCTTGGACAAGCATTAAAGCACTCCACAGCACTCTGTAAAATTTTGAACAGTTCAAAAGTTGAAAGCTACGTTATATACTTTAAGTCTTTTTTTGTTTTAACGTCATCGAGTTTAACGTTATTTTTTTTAAATTATTCTTTCACTAGCGTATCTCTCTGACGGTCGCGTCAGGAAATGTATGCACTTAAATGACTTTAAAAATCAAGTTTAAAGATAAAGTTAAATTTTTTAGAGGGTTAGCATCGTAATGACAATAATAAAAACATGTAAAAATCCGCAGCGCAACCGTCCACTGATTTTTTTAATTTCGTTTTTTTTAGGTCCTCTCAGGGTTATATCGCGTAATGTAGGACATATCAAGAGGTGAGTGAAGGCANTGTGAGGCGATGAAGGTGCATGCATCGATGATCTCATCACAGGTCCGTGTTGCCAGAAAAGGATAGGGGGGTGAGGAGGGGAGGGGGGGGGGGGGGGGGGGGGAGGTAAGGGGTATACAGGCTAGTTTAGTGTAGCCGCCGTGTGCTCATAGAAAAGAGCAAGCGTAATAAGGGAAGTATTTAGAGATAAGTTTTCCCGTGAAGTAGAAAATATTCACAAAGGAGTGTAGGTGTGATAAGGGAGATATCAAGAGATGAGTGAAGGCGTGAAAAAAGGGTGGCACAGTGGCGAGAGCACTCAGCTCTCGTTGAGGCTATACGTGGGTTAAGTTTTCTGTTGGTTCTCTGCCTTGTTCTGAGAGGCTTTTCTCTGGGCTATCTAACTTTTCCCGCTTCTCAAAACCCATCAATTCTAATCTGATCTCAGAGGAACGCACGGACACGTTAAAACGAGTCCTCCCTAAGTGCTACGAGAGTAAACAAATTAAAATTACAGTACAATTTTTACAATAACTTAGTAAGCTGGTAACAATACACAACGCTCTATATCTGACCTTGACTCAGAGTGTTTTTCTACTGGATTTTTGTCTGGTAGTTCTTCACCATGATAAATGTACTGAGAGCCTCCAGTCAATACTGTCATTGAAGATGTGTTAGTAAAGCGCTAAAAGAAGGAGAAATAATATTTATTTGCTACTCTGGGTTGGGATTGTTTTGTTTCAACGTATGTTACTTCAAACTGAATAGCTATCAACGCAACTCGTTAAGTGAAATCAGCTTCGGCCTCTGGCTCGGTTGATAACAATTACCTCGATCTTGATTATTATGAATATCTTAAAACCCTCATCCAATATTTTTTAAAAAAGTTTTCATTAAAAATCAGGGAAATAACGTGAATTACTGCGCTTCTGCAAAGACGGTACTTACCATGTAGTAGGGTGCCATCTTCCCCTTATCACAGCACTTTACAACAACCAACACTATAATGGCCGCAATCAGACCTCCGACCAATAACCCGAGTAAAACACCAAGGGCAAAGTATCCAAACACTTTACGGGGCTACAATGAACAAAATTCACAAGTAAATATGACAGATTCGGTCGGCGGGAACAAGACCCAGTCAACATCGTAGCACCTGGCCCTTTTCACTGTTTTCAGTGATATCTTGTAGCGGCTCTGTAGCTGACTTCGCACAAGCACCTTCCCTGTTATCACGAATATTGCAAGGAGATGACTGAAAGCAAGTCAGATTTAGCAGTATTTTGCCTGCAAATGCAGAATGGAAAGAATTGTGATATCAAGGTTTTGGCCCACTTCATTCCAAGTAAATTAGTCATTTTAATCTCATGTTGCCATTTCATTGCTTCACTCAGCTGTATTTGACGAAGTGTCTTAGCTATTTGGCGAGAGGAGGTGCTCGACTTGCCGTACGTACGCTATGCTGTTACTATCTATCTGCTGAGCATGAAAAACAACGACAAAAGCAGAAGGGCTCTCACGGTTACTCAAATATTAGTTGTGCAACAAAACAAATATACCCTTAAAAACCTGGTTGCCATTGGCAATCCTGAACAAAATGGCTACATGCTGAGTAATATCAACACTTTTAACATTTCATCACTCACTGCTCTAGACTTGACATGCACATATCAGTAATCGAGTGCAAAAGCTAACCAGAGCAAAGCGAGAAAGCGTAAGCAAAAATTCTACCTCTGCTTCATCTACATCATTCCTCTGGAGACAAGCTGTGCTGGAGTCACTTCTCAGTCTGTAGGTTGCACTGTTCAACTGTCGATGGAACAAATACTCGCCATAAATGACAACTCAAAAAACTAATACATACATTATTAAAATTCGACTTACGGCAAGGTCCGATTTAGACATCAAACATCACATTTGCCAAAATTTTAAGTAATAAGCGTTAGATTCCGAGCGTGAGAAATTCTACGCTAAAAACATGGCCATCACGGTGGAAAATCCTCATCTCGAAAACATTTATGTCTTTCCTCGTGCCATCCTAGCTGTCGTAAGGGTGGTTTAAATTACTGCGTTTCTTGAAGCTCGCTCACGGGGGGCCTTAAAATCAAAGTTTACATAAGATTAACTAAATTGGCTGGCAACTGTGCGTGGCCGCTCAATGAAGTTCTCATTAGATAAAGTCCTATATTCTCAAAAATTAATAAAGTCCGCTCATTGGCCCCCGTAAAGGTGAGGCTACAGGGCGCCAAGAAAATTGCATAACCACCTAGAAAAAAAAGGGTAGAAAAAGAAAACGAGGCAGGCTGAAAAAAATTGTGTTGCATGGAAACCGCTGCAAAGTTACATGTCTGATAACACTCTGAGGGTGACAATTCACTTATTGCCTCTTCCCCTCAGAATCACTAAAACAGCTTAAATTGAAACTGAAATCAGGGTGGCAACGGAATGGTAACCCCTGAAACACCCAGGTTCACTGAAGTGAACACACTTTACGCCACGCACAGTACAATTGAGAAAGAATTTCAAAATGTAATTCGCTAATTTCAAACAGCTTGTGCCTATTTCCTACCTGTACACTCTTCCATACCACTTCTGCCGGAATTCGTAGAGTGCTCGGCTCCTTACAAAAGTGAAAAGTAAACAGCTCGAAAGACGCAATAGCCATGACAAATACTAAATTAATCTACAGCCGTAAATAGCAAATAGCAGCCTCTATAAAGTTACCAGAAATACTTTATCGCAAAAATCTCGCGAAGCTAAAAAAGGGTTAGCAGTGAGCCTGAATAAACGGAAACAAGCCGAAGGGTAAAAATACGATGAAAGAAAAAAAACTGGAAGTAGCTCCGCCGGGATTTGAACCTGCACCCCAACTTCCTCCTGCGCAGAAAGCAATCCTCATACCACTGGGCCATGCGAACAGTACACAGTTTATTTAAAATTAATAGTGTTGACGTATTTTTCTCTGCCATTCACACTGTTTGAACCTTGTGGAGCTGCATTTATCATGAATTCAAAGATACATTTGAGGAAAAATAGCTCAAACGAGTATTTCAAAACCATTTCGCATTATTTCCGTATTTATTCACTCTCGGGCTTTATATAGGCCGCTCGATGAACGCACTTCTTCTTCTTCGTTCCTCTCGCTGAAGTTCTGGTCGCCGTTCTTTCAGTGTTAAATCTTTTTGTACGGCAAGGATTTCCAGCCACTTGTCCAATCGGACACTGTTGTGTTTGCAGCCCGCTGTTACTTGTCTCACAAATACTTTGCGATTCGCCAGGCGATTCGCCAACGTACAGTAAACAGAGGATGAGTAAAATGAGCCCTAGTCAGTGGCCGTGTGGCCAGGAAACCCAAAATGCACGATGACGTCATGCTGAATGGCGTATTTAGGATTTGTTTAGGACTTGTTGCTAGGCAACTGCGGACACCAAACCGATAGAAAGAAAGATTTATGACCAAAGCGAAATCGCACTCCTTTTGCGATCCTCGCGTGGCGCGCGACAAAATTATAAGGGAGATTAAGAGTCACGTTTACTGCAAACGGCAAACGTCAGATTCAAGTCGAGAATTTCTCAGAACAGAAAATAAGCGGATAAAAACTGTTCAGAAAAATTGTTATGGATAAAACTGGTGTGAAACTACTGAGTAGAAGTAATAAACAGTAAACGACAATTAAGGGGGAAACTTGGTCACGTAGTACAAATTCACGTTTGCCGTTTGGCGCAAACGTGAATCTCTGTATAAACTTGCTTCGTTCGAGGACTAACGGCCGCTCGCTCCGCGAGAATTATATAGCGTTTTCACTTACGTGGCCAGCCTCTATGCAAATTTATTGCAACAAAATAAAAGTGTTTAAGTAAGAAAAGAGTCTAACTCTACAGGATTGGTTTGAAACACCAACATGGCCGCCGTTTCATTGTTTGGGAACACCAACATGGTCGCCGTGACGTCATGTGAAAACGCTCTATATTACAAAGAGCCAAGGAAAATGTACCACCACTTCCCAATGGAACTCTTACAAACGTGGCAATTGCAATAACTCGCTGAATCTTATTAAGTAAAATCACTGATTTCGCTGTTGAGACTGATACATCTGGAATGTACAAGACAATTTGTTATACAGTCACATTTTCCTAAAAAAAAGCATATTACCAACCTTTTCTTCTACTCGGAAATGGGCCACATAGATAAACGATCTTGTCTCGCCGACTAGAAATAGTAAATATAAAAGGACAATATTTAAAATATTAGCGGTCGAAAATCAGAGGCACCCAACGAGAATACAGTTCAAAACCACTTAAACATAGCATTGTTAAACGTATTAAATCATAAATTTTCCATCTATATGCGTATAAAAATAGGGGATTTTTAAAAAGTAGACAAGCCTAAAGGATCGACTTTCAGATCACTAGGCTTTTAATATCCCTAGTTTTCAATGGAAAAGCTTTTAAAGAGTAAGAAAAAAGGCTCCCGAAAATTCTGGGTGACCTTTTTAGCGTAAAAATTCGTTAAAAATGGGAAATTATACAAATTTTTAGATGTTCGAAAATCCTAGGAGAGGCAGGCAAGCAAGAAATTTTACAGCAAATGCTCCGAAAATTCTAGATCTCAAATCATCTTCCGAACAGATATTTTCCGAAAATTGACGTTGGGTGCCCCTGGAAAATGTTGTCTAATATTAGAAAAAAACCTCACTTACTTCGTAGAGTTGGCAAAATAAACCGGACTCCAAATATGTTCTTGCCAGGATAACTGATGAATACGCCTTTCGTTGAAACAGCAGAGTCAAAGATGTCCATTCCTTGAGCTGTATCCGTGACAGTCAGATTACGAGCATCATAAAGAGAACCAATTGCGTGACTTATTGTGATGTTAAACGCCATTGGAGGTGAATCACTTTCATCTTGTAATACCTTTATATTGTAAAGATGAATCTAAGTCATAGGTATTCTCTCCAGTAAAATGGAACTATCCTGAAGACCAGGTTGAAGCAGGGGTAGGGTGGGGAAGGACAACATTCAAATACTTGTATATAAAAAATTACCCTCGAATACAGGTTGGTTCCATTTTCTTAAAGAGAAATGGATGAAATAAATTTGCCAGCAAAACCGGGATAGACCAGATACAGAATATTGGTTGAAACCTCCCAGGAAACATATGGTGCCCTTGAATAGAGGAAAATGCACGTCATGCCTTTGAGGCATTAGAGTACTGTATATCATCACCTGCTGTGCATAGAAGGGTGCTATGGCAAACTAACTTGATATTTTGTGGGGGGGGGGGGGTCCTGTTTTTACGAATTTTTTGACTACCCCTTTGAAGAAAATTAAAAAAATTTTTAATACAAAAATTTTACCAATAATCATAATGTCCCTTCTAATAAAATGAACTGTTAAATTTTTTAAACTTATGATATCTCTTTTCTACGTTGGCCACCTCCCTCACCCTGCACTT